CCTTCCCGAGGTCTGGGCACGCGGGACGCGGTGGCTGGGCACGTGGGCGGCGCACGTGCAGCTTCAGGCGCCTTGGAGTCACCTTGGCCTGCGTGCCTGTGTGGAGGTCCGCACGATGCTGCAGAGAGTAGAATTCAGGGAGCCGACCAGGACCTCCCCTTGTGTGCACGCGCGTGTGTGCACGTATGTGTGTTCACGTGTGTGCATGTGTACGTAGTGTGTGTGTTTGTGAGATGCTGGCCTGCCCCTGAGCTGCACCCTGAGCTTTCTCTCCTGTTCAGTGTGGGCTTGGACGGGGCCAGACATCAGTTCTTGGGGGCTCTATCGACTGGCCGCTTAGTATGTCATTTAAATCTAAGACCCACTCCCCCGACACGCGTTCAGAGAACTGTTAATATTACTTCCTTAGATGGGAAGCCAGTATCAGTTGCCATAAATAGAAGGTAAAAGTAAAACAAGCAAGGAAAGCAGAGCAAGGTCATTAAATTCTGGCTGGAAACCACGCAGCGCGGCTGGAGCTGGGCCCCCGCGGGAGAGAGTGGGTCAGCTGCAACAGGCAACAGCCCCTTAGCACTGGCTGAGCCCCTGCCGTCAGGGCGTGGAGCTCTGTCCGGATGCGCGGGGCACGCTGAGGCCCATCGTCCTCCTGAGCTGCATTCCGCTAGATGCTAGATGAGACTGGCCTTCTGGCCCTGCCTTACAACCACCCCCGGGGCTTGATCCAGCCCAGCCTTGGGAAAGTTCCGGGCCTCAGCTGCGAAGATGAGTACGCCGCCATGGGCCTACAGGATGGCGAACCCCCCAGATGACCGTGACGTGTGCAGAGAGTAGCCTGCCCTGCCTGCCCTCTGACACCCCGGGTCTCTGCAGGGATGAGGGGGCGGCCAAGGTGTGAAAGACCAGGTCTCGTCCCTCGTGGCAGTGTCAGAGGTGCTCAGGGTTGTGCCCTAGGTCACTGCCCGCAGCCTGGGCTCTGTCTGGCTTCCCACAGAGAGCTGTGCTCCCTCTGCTCAGGCTGTGGGACTTGAGCGGCCCCAAACATGGCAGGGAAAGCAGGCAGGGTGGAAGCCCTCTCCCCTCCACCTCAGAGGGTCACAGCCTCCTGGCCACGCCCATCTCAAGGCCAGGGGCAGGGACCCTGTCTCTGCGCTCCCCATGCTTGTGGGGAAAGCGAGTGTGCCCCTTTCCCCTTCCCTGAACCGTTGGTCTCCATGCAGACCATGTGCTGTAGCTGCCTGAGTCTCTCCTTGCTGGCTCCCCGTTGCCCCTTTGTCGTAACTCGCAACCCCTTACACCTGTTTATACAAATGTCATCCCCGCTCAAGAATTTTCAAGGGCTCCCTATTGCTCAAGATACAAAATCTAATTACTTCCTGACAGGACCTGCCTGCGTTCTGCCCAAATAAAACCACTTCTCAGTCCCTGAGGAAGTTGGACCTGTCCTCCTGTGTTTCATCCTCTATCCAAGATCTCTTTTTCTTTAGGTACCCATCGAAAGCTTTTTCTTTTTTCCTTCTGGTACTGGAGATCGAACTCAGGACCTTGCACTTGCAAGGCAGGTGGAGGAGCCACTGAGCTAGCTCCCCAGCCACTCCCAGCCTTTCTAATGGTGTGAATCTTGTCCTCTGAGCTCCTAGGGTACAAAGCCTGGCCCATTATGCCTCAGTTTCTTTGCCTGTCAAGTGAGCATCACAGCAGTGGCTACTTTGTGAAGTTATTGAGAGAAATCAAACAACCCCAAAGCGCCTTGCAGTGGTGTCATCGTGGATGCTCTGCAGCCTGCCTTGCCATCCCCATCAGCCAGTGAGTTCTGGGAGCGGGGAAGAGCCCAGTTCCTGTTCACTTTCCCGTCACGAAGGGCAGCATCTTGCATACTGTCCATTTCTAATAACTAAATAATGAATCGCCGTGGGCAGGAAATGCAGTCACTCTCCTTGGGGACAGAGGGACAGGACAGTGATGGGGGCAGAGTCTGTCAGTTTTCCCAACAGCCACTTACAGAAGGAAACTGAGATTCTCAGAGCAGCAGAGGAGAGGTGGAGCTGGCAGCCAAGATAAGTTTCTCCAAAAGAAAATGTGGCCTCTGCCTGGTGTCCGGTCAGCTCCATGGTTGCTTTTCTGAACAGTGGCTCCTGTCCCTGGCAGTGGTTGGACTCACCTCCTGGTCTCCTGGCCTCCTGGGCAGCTTTGGAAAGAAATACCAGCCCCTAGATGCCAAGTCCACTGCTCTGGGCTGAGCCTGGGGGGCCACATGGTGTGAAGCTCCCGGGACACCAGTATAAAGCCAGGCCTGCCCTACACTGGTCCCAGGTGTGGTCCCTGGATTGCGAGGGATGCAGATCTTCACCCACCTCGCACTGCATCTGGATCTTCAGCCCCTCACTGAGCCTAAGAACCACTTGCCAGGCAGCAGACAAGAGGTACAACAGCTCAGAGGCCCCAAGGCCCAACCTTCCTCTTTTGTAGATATGACAGTTGTGGCTCAACCAGGTTCAGCACCTGCCAACAAGAGGCCAGCCAGCCCAGTGCCCACACCTGGCTCCCAGCACAGTGCTCCTTTTGCAAAAGGCCCCAGATCCAGCAAGACTGTCCCTAACCAGCGCAGGCAGAGTCAGCCTTGGGTCTCGGTGGGACCTTGGGTCCTCAGTGACTGGTTGGGGTCTGGCTCAGACTCCAGTAGTAGTAGGGGGACCTGAGCTGTCACAGGGCCACACGGCTACCCGGGTCAAAAGTCAGTGGGA